AGTCTTTTTTTTTTTTTAATATATTTTATTGATTTTTTACAGAGAGGAAGAGAGAAACATAGAGAGCTAGAAACGTCGATGAGAGAGAAACATCGACCAGCTGCCTCCTGCACACACCCCCACCAGGCATGCGCCCGCAACCAAGCTACATGCCCTTGACCGGAATCGAACCTGGGACCCTTCAGTCCGCAGACAGATGCTCTACCACTGAGCCAAAACAGTTTCGGCCAAAACTGAAAGTCTTGCCAAAACCAGTTTGGCTCAGTGGATAGAGCGTCGGCCTGCGGACTGGGAGGTCCTGGGTTCGATTCTGGTCAAGGGCATGTACCTTGATTGCGGGTACATCCCCAATGGAGGTTGTGCAAGAGGCAGCTGATCAATGATTCTCTCTCATTGATGTTTCTAACTCTCTGTCCCTCTCTCTTCCTCTCTGTAAAAAAAAAATCAATAAAAATATATTTAAAAAAACCTGAAAGTCTACACCCATTAAACAATACCCCTTCTTCTTCCCTCCCCATCCATACACCAGTCTTTATGATTTTGACTATCCCAAATACCTCACATGAGTGGAATCGTGTACTATTTGTCTTTTTATTACCACCCTGTTTCACTTAGCACAGTGTCCTCAAGGTTCATCCATGTTGTAGCATGTTGCAGAATTTCCTCCCCTTTTAAGGCTGAATAATATTCTATATATGGTATCACATTTTGCTTTTACATTCATCTGCGGATCTGCACTTGGGTTGCTTCTTTGTTTAGCTACTGTGAATAATATTGCTTTGAACATGGCCAACGATATAACTACTTCTTAAAAGCAAGTTCATAAGCACAAGTTTCCTCTTTTTTCTTCTGAGCAAAGTTGTATGGCAAGAGAATTTTCAGAATCTGTGAAACTTCCTGTGCCTCAACTGACCTTAAAGTTCTGAGTGAGGGTGCCAGTGCACACATGTGTGTGCTTGCCTGCTTGGGCATATGGACAGGCTCTGAATAACATATGACGGTAACAGCCAATGCATGGAAAGCAGAGGTCTGGGAAAGGGTGGGAGCATCCATGTGAGCCATTTCCAGAGTTGACCCCTGCCCCTGTGCCCGGTTTCCTTGGCAGTTTACCTCAGCAACATGGGCATAAGGATTGGTAAAATAGAAGACCTCGAGGCCCTGGCTGGGTAGCTCAGTTGATTAAGGCACTGTCCTATTATATCAAGGTTGTGGGTTTGATCCCCAATCAGGTCACATAGAACAATCAACCAATGAATGCATAAATGAGTGGAACAACAAATCTATGTTTTCTTCCACCCCCCTCTTTCTCTGATCAAGATATATATATTTTTAAATATAGGAGCCCTCCATATGATGGGGAGTGAGCGAGGGAAGGACACCCAATATATGTGCTGCTCTAGACCCAGGAGCCTGGGACTCTGTCCTTTCCACGCACCTGGCAGTGTGCCCTCTGCCGAGTGAGAGCAGGCTTTGAATTCAGAGCTGGATTTACATATTGTCTCTCCCAGTATCAGCTGCATTCTTTGGAGTCAGTATTTAAGTTCTTTGACTTTTAGTTTACGTACTCATGTGTAAAATGGAGATAAAGCACCTACCTGAAAACAACTTTGCTAAGACTGAATGGGCTGCTTCCAGCCAGGCCTGGCCATGTACATAGGACTGGCTCCTTCTTTAAAACCCTGGCTTCCTGGTGCCGCATTTTGAAGTGGGCATTTCTAATGGGAAAGGGGGGCTATGTTATGCCCAGATTTTGCAATCCTAAGACCACTAGGGAGCCGAGTCCGATGCAATAGCAGAAAGCCTGTTCCATGCTAGCACGGGCTCTGTTCCACTCACACAGACAACGGCGTGGCGAAAGAGCACAAGCTTCAACAGATCAAGGGGTTTTATAGGGGTGGTGATGTCACTGCTTTGGCTGACCCCGATTGGTTAGGTGAGGGCTAGGGTCCAGTTACAAAATGGAGGATCAGGAGTTCCGCCCTGCCCTCTCATTCCCAGGAATTAGCCTTGCCCTGCCCTTTTAGCTGCACCTGGTCAAGATTCCCTTTTCTTCGTGATCTTTTGGGAAATGGAAACAGGCAAGTCTACCAAATAAACTGAAAAGAAAGATCTGGATGCAGTGAGCTACCCGGCCACTGCCATGAGGGCTTCTTTTTGACCTATCCTTATGCCAATGTGGCTGAGGTGAACTGCCAAGGAAACAGGGAGGAGTTCAAGGCTAAGGTGGGACTCGAGTAGCAAGGGAAATAAAGATCTGTTACTATAGGTAACATGAACATTGTCCCACCTCTCTGTATAATTCTGTTAACCAGTGCCATCCCAATAAATTCAATAAAATGGAAAAGAAAACTAAAATCCAGGTTAAAAAAAAAATAAAGCATTTTCTTTAATTCAAAGTCACAACTTTACATTTGGTTAGAGGGTATTGAAACGGGATTTTTGGACTGGAATCCAAATTCTTTGTCTGTTGGAGGCAAATAATGAATCCACAGACAGAGGAGGAGACTTATTGAAGAACAAGTACAGAATCCCACGTAGGGAGGGGAAAAGGTCCCACTGAGTTCCGTTTCCCTATGGCTTATAAAGGCTGCAGATCCTGGTGCCTTGATATCCCCTCTGATTGGTCACTATTCCCTCAGGCTGGTTACTATAGTAACTCCTGGGCTCAAAGGTCAAACCTCACATGGGACCTGTGAGGTTCTTCCCAGCTCTTTCCTTATTGTTTTCCTATTCCCTTTGGGCTTTCTTCTTCTCCTTCTGGATGAAGGGCTTCCTTCCCTTTATTTTGAAAATATAGACCCTGTTCTGTTCCCAGCTCCCTCATTCTATGGAAATGTACCTTTTGCTGCTCTGCAGCCCTGTGTTTCTTCCATGGTTCTCTTAATTTCTAAAATTTTCTAAAACCTATTTTTTTACCCCCAAAAGTTTCTGTTTCAGTGTTGACAATTGGTATGAGAATAAAAAAACGACAGCAACCCAATGTCTGGGAAAGCACTTTCTAAAATACAGGGTCCTATGTAAAAAGTAACAAGTTGGAATAATTACTATTATTATACGCAGCAGCATCAGTGCTCATCTTTGTTTTTACTTTTATTTCAAACCATTTACAAAGAACTTTTTAGACCAATGCATTCCAGTAGACCAAGGAATAAAGGATCTGAAAATACTTTTCTTATAATACATCGTTATTAAATACCAACACCCTAGTGGGGTGCCTGCACTAGTTATTTTGGCAACACCAGAGGCCAATTTGGATCAATTATATGTATCTCATTAATTATTGATCACCAATCAACCAAACAAAAGGGTCCCAAACCTGTAAGTTATCCTTCTGTTTGACTCCAGAGACAAAGTTTGGAATCCTAGAAAAACAATAAATATGAAATCCTGAGAAAATACGCTCAGCCCAAAAGCCATTCTATCTTTTGGTTGCAGGTATTTATGCAAAAATCAGACAAGATAATACCTTGAAGAAGAAGCTCTTTGTTAAAATGACAGGGTCCTATATAAAAAATAACAACTTCAAATAATTATCTATCCAGAAAAAGAAAAAGAAAAAAAAGGATTGGAATCCAGAAAAAAAGTCATTTATACAGAAAAAAAGAAAGAAAAAGAATTGGAACTAAAACATACATTATAAATCCAAAGTAATGTCTAGAATCTTTGGAAATTCTTTTATTCTTCTTCTGTCTAAAGTGTCTACTAGAATTGCTCTGTCTCTCTTTCTCTACCTCTGTCTCTGTCTCTCCTCTCTCTAGCTGCTCCTCCTTTTGAAAATATCTCAGAGAAAATAGTTTCATGAAATAGAATAATAGATATAAAAACCATATTGTGTGTGTTAATATAGTTTACTAATTTGAACCATGATCTCTGGGGAATCTGGGGAAGAGCTCAGAGATTTCCATTTGCTCTGGGAAAAGTTTACTATATGTATTGAAAGCCACATGGCGAGGGCTCAGGTTACAGGAGTGAAAGCCTGGGCGGTTGTGAGTGCTGAGGCCCCGAGACAGAAGCTCTTAGTTCTAACTGCGTTTCTGGAGAGGAGGGCGCCAGTGCGTGCACCACTTCCATTAAGGACCAGCTACTTGCTTTAGTGGAGCCTTTCTCTCAGGAAGTGCAATGTATAGTCAGGGCAGAAAAATAAGCAAAGGAGGAAATTTGCTATTGATTTTCTTTTCTTCTGTGAAATTACGTGAAAGCTCAATGGCTGGTAGCAGGAACTTGGTCAATAAGGCTCCCGTTGAGACCATGGTGAAGTTCAGTCTCTCCCTTTCCTTTCAAACCTCCTCTAGTGCCAGGTTCTCTTGTATTTAATTGTCTTTGGTGCTGAGCTGCTAGGAAAGGCTTTTTATTCATAACACCACAGAGAGGGCTAAGCGAAAGGTAAACTGTGAAATAGTCTCAGACAATGAAGTTTTGCCCTCCTTGTTGGTTAAAAATCAAATAATACTAAAAACCAAACTTGGCCCTAGCTGGTTCGGCTCAGTGGATAGAGTATTGGCTTGAGGACCAGAGGGTCCCAGGTTTGATTCCAGTCAAGGGCGTGTACCTCGGTTGCAGACTTCTCCCTGGCCCGGGGTCCTGGTCAAGGCTCATGTAGGAGTAACCAATCAATGTTTTTCTCTCACATTGATGTTTCTCTATGTCTTTCCCTCTTCCACTGTCCCTAAAAATCCTTAGGCGAGGATTAATAACAACAATAACAACAACAAACCACACACATACACAAAAACAAACAAACAAACAAACAAACCTGAAAACCAAGAAGAAAAAAAGAAAAACGAGGCTGAGATGAATGGTAAGATTGCTCATTATAAAGCAGTTTTTCAGTATCAGGATGTTGCTGGGAGTACTAATCCTGTTTCCTCCTATGGGCGTGGGGAAGGTTGGTTATGCCAGACTCACCGTGACGTGTGTAGTATAATACTTGCTAACCTTAATCGAACGTTTACTGTGCACTAGATAGTATGCTAAGTCTTCATATGGTTTCTGTTCCACAGGGAAGCAATAAGCCGTCTGTGCGAACCTGTCCCCGGGGCAAACGGAGCCACTAAAAAGCGAAAGGTAAATAAATATTGGGGTGGTTTTCTTCTTTCATGTTTCCCCGTCAATGAGGAAGATGATATAAAAAGAGTTGTGAGGTTATTCCACCGTCTGACTTAGAGGTCCCGAATGGCCTTTATCGGTGGGCATGAGTGTAGAGATACAACTCAAAGTCGCTCTGGCCCCTCAGATTTTCCCAACTCATCTTAAATGGTGGTGCCTAGAAGGACAGAGCCAAGAAAGCGCCTGAGATTCAAGTGAGAACATCCTGGTTCCAGGCCTGGGTCTTTACCTTCCTTTGAAGGTGGTATCTCACGGTCTGAGACTCTTTCTTATTCCTGTAAAGTTAAGTTGTTGAACCAGATGGCCAGTTTGGTACCTTCCAATTTGAATATGATCTAATGTCTGTATTTTTAACATTTGAGACTTTTTAAACTCCTTGGCCTATTTTTAAGTGCAAACACGGCGCTGGCACTGATGACATAATAATACATGGGGAGAAGGGACTTTTCATGCTGAAAGAGCACACATTTTGGTGTTAGATGATAGACTTGCGTTTAAATCCTGCCTCTGACTCCTATTTATTTATTTATTTTTAAAATATATTTTATTGATTCTTTACAGAGAGGAAGGGAGAGGGATAGAGAGTTAGAAACATCGACGAGAGAGAAACATTGACCAGCTGCCTCCTGCACACCCCCCACTGGGGATGTGCCTGCAACCAAGGTACATGCCCTTGACCGGAATCAAACCTGGGACCCTTCAGTCCACAGACTGATGCTCTATCCACTGAGCCAAACCGGTTTTGGCATGCCTCCTGCTTTTAAAGAGCAATAGGTCAATCGAGTAAATTTGAAGATCTAATTGGCTGTATTAAATCGAGAGGTGCTCCCAGAAACTGTACCATATAGTAGTACAGAAAGGCAGAAACTGTGCCAGACAAGGAAGCGATTAGCAAAAGAAAAAGAAAAGAAAAAGGTTGTTTCAGGCCAGGTTACCTTCCCTTAGGGAAAGGCAGGGGTCTTACCAGACAAAGTGCCTCAGTTGCCTTTCGGTGTAGAGGGCCCACGTGAGAGGTTACCTCACGGGTACTGACCGGAACATTCCAGATTGAGTAAGATTACATTCCTGGAAAAAGTTGAAACTGCAATTAGGTCAGGTATTAAGTAGGTTCCGCCCTGACTGGTCTGACTCAGTGGATAGATAGAGTGTTGGCCTGTGGGACTGAGGGGTCCCAGATTCGATTCTGGTCAAGGGCACATGCCCAAGTTGGGGGCTTGATCCTCGGTGCGAGGTGTGCAGGGGGCAGCCGATCAGTGATTCTCATCGTAGATGCCTCTCTCTCTCTTTTCTTCTTCCTTCCTCTCTGAAATCAATGAAAATATTGAAAAAGAAGAGTAGGTTCAGTGTCATGGGCTTTAGCACAAGTGTCTCCATTTGGATCTGGGGTTTTCTCTTTAAGACACTATCAACTGTGTGACCTTGGACAAGTCACCTTTGGATCCTTGGTTTCCACGTCTGTAAAATGGGAGAAAACTGCACTTACTTTGCGGAGCTGTTTAAGAATTAAATGAAATGATGCCCACAGAGTGCCTAACACCGTGTCTGACACTATTAGACTTTCAACAATGTTGGTAACTAGTATTATTGTTATTAAGCTATTAACTCTAGGATGTTCGTTTGTTTTGAAAAGTCCAAAGGGGACATAAAGGCTCTGAAGATAACTGTGTTAAGTCTTAGAAATGAAAGGTGCTTAAGAGGGAAGGGATTTTTAGGTATCCTCCAGGCTAACTCTCTCGTTTTGCCAGTTACTAACCTGTGGCTCAGAGAAGAGATTTGTCTTGAGTCCCTAGGACCCTGAAGGTCAGAGCCGGCTAGAGAAGCCAGGTCTTCAGATCCCCATCTTAGAGCTCCATTTCCACACCACCCTGCCCCACTTGTTACCATTCTTCATCATTTTGCATAGAGCAAAACCCGGTGTAACCCAGAATGACTCAGATGAGCCCCATGGTATGGAAAACTCTGATATGTGGCTTTGAATTCTATTAGAAACCCTGATTACTAGTTTCTCTGATGGAACCCATGGCCTCATAGTAGCCGCCAGCATCCTCCTACTTCTCAGAACCTCTGTGAATAGGATGCTTCAACTGGATGATCCAACAAACAGGCCCATTCATGTAAGGCTTTCTCATTTCAGGAATAGGGAGTCCATTCCCCAAAACAATACAAACCAGGCTATTGCTATTCCAGAAACTACACCTTTAATAAAAAAGGAAAAATTTGAATTAATTTCCTTTGATAGCTAGCATTTTTTGAATACTTTATACATGCCTGGGACCCTACTAAGCACTTTATATTTTTTATACTCTCCCCCTCCCCAACTTAAAAAATTGTTATAAAATATACTTAATATCAAGTTTACCTATTAACCATTTTAAGTGTACCGTTTAGTGATATTAAGTACATTCGTGTTGTGCAATCATTACCACCATTCATCTCCACAACTCTTTTCATCTTCTAAAAACCAAAACTCAATTACCCATTAAACAATAATTTCCCATTCCTTTCTCCATTCTAGTGTGTGTGTATGTGTGTGTGTGTGTGTGTGTGTGTGTGTCTGAGTGAAACTCTCAAGTCCTTTTGAACATCACAAATATTTAAAGATGGAATCTTTTTTTTTTTTTTTTTTTTTTTTTAAATATATTTTTTATTGATTTTATACAGAGAGGAAGGGAGGGAGATAGAGAGTTAGAAACATCGATGAGAGAGAGTCATCGATCAGCTGCCTCTTGCACACCCCCTACTGGGTATATGCCCGCAACCAAGGTACATGCCCTTGACCGGAATCGAACCCGCGTCCCTTCAGTCCCCAAGCCGACGCTCTATCCATTGAGCCAAACCGGTCCCGGCTAAAGATGGAATCTTAAGACCTGGCTTCCACAGCTTTATGGGAAAAAGAAAATCACATTTCATCCACCATCATACTTTCTATCACCTTTATTTGGACTACTCTAAGTACTTCATTTAAGTGGAATCATAAGGTATTTGTCTTTTTCACTGAGCATAATATACTCAAAGTTCATCCATGTTGTAGCATGTATCATAATTTCTTACTTTTTAAGGCTGAATAATATCCCATTGTGTGTGTGTGTGTGTGTGTGTGTGTGTGAGAGAGAGAGTATATAATGTATTTTGCTTATTCATTTATTTGTCAGTGGACACTTGGATTGCTTCCACATTTTACCTATGAACATGGAACTCCAAAAATCTGGTCAAATCTCTGCTTTCATTTTTTGGGGATTTATATCAAGAAGTGGGATTGCCAAAACCGGTTTGGCTCAGTGGATAGAGTGTCGGCCTGCGGACTGAGGGGTCCCAGGTCAGATTCCGGTCAAGGGCATGTACATTGGTTGCATGCACATCTCCAGTGGGAGGTGTACAGGAGGCAGCTGGTCGATGTTCCTCTCTCATCGATGTTTCTAGCTCTCTATCCCTCTCCCTTCCTCTCTGTAAAAAATCAATAAAATATATTAAAAAAAGAAAAAGAAGAGGGATTGCTGGATCATACAATAATTCCATTTTTAATTTTTTTGAGGAACTGTCATATTGTTTTCTATAGTGTTTGTACCATTTTTCATTCCTACTAATAATACACAGGGTTTAATTTTCTCCATATCCTTGTCAAAATTTGTTATGTTCTCTCTGTGTGTGTGTGTGTTTTGTGTTTTGTTTCTGACTAGTTGTAGATCTATCCAGATTTTCTATTTGTTCAGGATTAGTCTTGGTAGGTCTAATGTTTCTAGAAATTTATCTATCTTATCTAGGTAATCTGATTTGTTGGCATTCAATTGTATATAGTACTCTTACAGTCCTTTTATTTCTATTTCTATTGAATCAGTAGTAATGTCCCCACTTTCATTTCTGATCTTAACAACATGAGTCTTCTCTTTTTCTTAGCTTATCTAACAAAAGGTTTGTCAATTTTTATCTTCTTGAAGAACCAACTTTTGGTTTTGTTGTTTTTCTCTTTTGTTTTTCTAATCTCTATATCACTTATTTGTGCTCTCATCTTCATTTTTTCCTCCATTCTGCTAGTTTTGAGCTTAGTTTTTTTTTTTTTTTTTTTTCTAGTTCTTTAAGTTGTAAAGCTAGGTTGTTGATTTGAGGCCTTTCTTCTTTTTTAATGTGTTTATAGCTATAAATGCTCTCCTTAAGCAATGCTGCATCCCATAAGTTTTGCTATACTGTTTTTCATATTCTTAATCATCATAAAAAAAAACTTAGTAACTTTTTATATTTTTAATACTTGTGATGTTCAAAAGGACTTGCGAGTTCAGCTAGTCCAAACTCTCAGGAATTCCTTTTATATAAACCAGACCTCTACTCTAAATACTTGGGGAGAAAGGAATGTGTGAGAAAAGTTCTGAAGATTTAACTGCTGCATTCCATTTTTAAAATCCTCACTTGAGGATATTTTATTGATTTAAATATATATTACTGATTTCAGAGAAGAAAGAGAGAGGGAGGGAGAAAGAGAGAAACATCAGTGATGAGAGAGAATCATTCATTGCCTGCCTCCTGCATGCCCCCCACTCAGGATTGAGCCTGCAACCCAGGCATGTGCCCTAACTGGGAGTAAAACCGTGACCTTCTGGTTCATAGGTGGGCACTCAACCAATGAGCCACACCAGCTTGGCTTATAGATTTTAGAGAGAGAAGAAGAGAGAGAGGGAGAGGAAGAGGAAGAGGGGAAGGGGGAGGGGGAGGAGTAGGGAGAGGGGGCGGAGGAGGGGGAGGAGGAGGGGGCAGGAGAGAGGGAGGGGAGGAGGTGGGAAAGGGAGAGGGAGAGGGGGAGGGGGAGGGGGGAAATGGGGAGAGGGAAAAGGGAAAGAGGGAGTCAGAGGGGGACGGGGAGGGGGGGAGGGGGAGAGAGAGGGGGAAGGGGAGAGAGAAAGAGACATGGATGAGAGAGAGAAACATCAATTTGTTGCCTCCCATAGGCACCCTAACCCGAGATCAAACCTGCAACCTGGGTATGTGCCCTTCTGGGAATTGAAACTTCTACCTTTCAGTGTGCAGAACAACACCCCAACCAACTGCGCCACAACAGCCAGGGTGCATTCCAGTTTTTTAAAAGTTTTTTTTTTTTAATTATTTCATTTAATTTGATTTATGTAGGGTAAAATAAAGAAGAGTATGGGCTTCGATCCATTTTTAACATTAAAAGAAACAAACATTCATTCTGTAACAGAATTCATAACTTTGTGTTTTGTTCTTTTTAAAGCCTCCAGTTAAGTTTCTATCAACAGTTCTTGGCAAAAGTAATCTTCAGTTTTCGGGGATGAATATAAAACTGACCATCTCAACATGCAGCCTTACATTAATGAATCTTGACAACCAACAGGTAAGATTATGAATGTCATTTATGGCTTAACATATTATCTATTTCTCTGGAGAGTCTGAGCATAATAAAGAGAATAGTTTCAGGCAGTGTGCCTAAAATTTACTAAGGCATAGGGGGGAAAAAATCTGCCAAGGATTTATACATTCTAATAATTGGAACAGCCTTTCTAATCCATCACTGGGCATTTAATTGCTTGCATACTTGCACCTTACCTAATTGGGTTTGTAATAAGAACCAAAGTGCAAATAATATAATAAATACCATTTGGTAACACCTATTTTTTATATTTTCAAATATGTTTTTATTGATTTTTAGAGAGAAAGGGAGAGGGACAGAGAGAAACATTGATGAGAGAAAAACATCGATCGGCTGCCTCCTGCACACCCACTCCTGGGGATAGAGCTCAAAACCGGGCATGTGCCCTAACTGGGAATTGAACTGGTGACCTCTTGGTGCATGGGACAACACCCAACCCACTGAGCCATACCAGCTGGTCAACACTTATTTTTTAATCAGTCATTTATTACTCTCCACCAATACTTCTGGAAGAAAAAGCAATTTCACCCTGGCCCGAATGGTGAACATCGTCCCATGTACCAAAAGGGTGCTGGTTTAATTCCCTGTCAAAGCACATACTTGGGTTGTGGGTTTGATCCCCAATTGGGGAGCATACAGAAGGGCAATCGACTGACTTCAGGCGAGGATTAAAAAACATAACAAGCAATTTCATGATCAGAATTAAGCACAGAGTGATGCTAAGGTTAATGTTATAGCTAACTGAAATTTAAGCAGAAAACATTTTCTTACAAATCTTGAAATTGAAAGCTTTCTAAAACGTTATTGTATAAACATAATTTTTTCAACTTTGATGACTTATGATACTGAGTTTTTATTGTTAACCTTCTTTTATTTAAAAAAATATATTTTATTGATTTTTTTCAAAGAGAGGAAGGGAGAAGGATAGAGAGCTAGAAGCATCTATGAGAGAGAAACATTGACCAGCTGTCTACCACACACCCCCAACTGGGGATGTGACCACAACCAGTGTACATGCCCTTGACTGGAATCAAACCTGGGACCCTTCAGTCCACAGACCGACTCTCTATCCACTGAGCCAAACCGGCTTCGGCTAACCTTATTTCTTAAAGAACAGCATTGCTTGTGTCCTAGTGGGTTTGGCTCAGTGGATAGAGCATCCACTTGAAGGGTCTCAGATTTGATTCCAATCAAGGGCACATGCCCAGGTTGCCACCTGGATCCCCAGTAGGGTGTGTGCAGGAGGCAGCCAATCAATGATTCTCTCTCATCACTGATGTTTCTCTCTCTCTTCCTCTCCCTTCCTCTCTGATATCAATAAAAATATATATATTTAAAAAAGAATAGCATTGCTGAAGCAAATGTAAAAGACATAGAAACAATGAGCTAAATGTGTACCCTAAAATAGGACACTTTTTACTTGCTTTATATTTTTAAAACTAAATTCCTTATATCAGGTTAGTTACGTGTGTTAAAGTCTATTTTTTTTCTTTCTAATATGTAGTGATTGGAGATTTTTACTTTAAGGTTTTACTGGTTCGAGTGCTGTCGATCAGGGACACGTGGAGGGTGTACTGTGTACTTGGCCATGATAAAACACTAGGAGATTTTGAGGTCACATATAGGTTGAAATCCTGGCTTTGCTATGAATGAACAAGTTACCCTACCACTCCGTGTTCCTCATCAGTGAAAGAGGGTGATAGTGCCTTTTCATCGAGTTTCTGAGGGGACGGATTTAGCAATAATCTGTCTCATGGGGTCATTTAGAGGACTAGGTGAGATCATGGATGTCAACCACTTAGCCCAGTGCCAGTCACATGGTATCTATTATTATTATTATTTACCAAACATCCTTCTTTGAAACCTTTACATATACATACTCAGTACTTAATGGGGGAAGCATATTATATAACATTATAAAATTGTCAGTAACATAGAAGTACAGTTACATACACTTTGATTTCCTTTTTTTTGGCTAAAACACTCACTTGGGTTGTTGAGGACTGTTTTATTTTTTTAATCCAAAAGCAGAATTAAATACATTGATTCCACAGTAGTATAAATCATCATAGAGAAAAATGCATACTATTAAGCAGTTCAAAACAGATTCCTGTGTCATTGGGTCCTCGTTGGTTATCCAGGAGAGGTGACACCTCTGTTACAATGGCAGGGGAACCTTGGGAAGTGCCACACAGCTGGGCAGAAGGTAAAACATTCTTTCAGATGCTTTGTCTTCAAGACATTTGTAGATTTAAAGTTTATGTTTAGTTTTCAACCTTGTGTACAGTATCAGGGACGCTCAATGCTATTAGTTATGAGATTTCACCGAGTATAGGAGCCCTCGAATTGTCTCAGAGTTTTGTAGGGAAGGAAGAGTAGGCAGAGCTGGAGCCAATCTGGTGACAGCCTCACGTGCAGCGTCTAAAGAGCATTTTAAAAATGATTTTAAAATTCCCCAGTCACCCTAGTCCACAGGGTGACTGAGGAATGGGGAGTTGAGGAAGCATAGGGTTGTGATGTGTGTGGCAGGGGTTCTAGTTTATTCTCAGCATTTCCTCATCCCCCACTGCCTTTTCTTCCCCAGGCCCCTGCAATTAGAGATGATATTGCCGCACGCCCATCACCTTTCTGGCAGAACCGAAATAGGGACAATGGGGTGGGCAGCTTCCACCATCAGTGGTTACAGCAATGGGGTACCGTAGGGAGTGAACCACGTCTTTTCTGCACCGGTGCCATGACATGGGGTTTAGTTCAGCTCAGGGCTGGAATGGTGACCAAAGTTAGGATCTCACTGATACCCCACAGTTCAAATAATTTTGAACTATTCTGCAGGCCTGGGGGAAATGGCTTGGGGGCACTGTACAAATAGATGTGCCACACTCCAGATGCTTAAACTCAAGACGCTTTATACATTTCATCAAAAGGACAACTTCAGTGTTCGAGGCAGCAAAGAAGCAACCTTATGGAGAGAGCGTGAGAAAAGGATTTCGTATTTACATTCTCCTTTTAAAAAGCTACCCTTTGAAGTTCTAAGATAAATACAAAGATACACTAATGCCTCCCCCTCCCTTAACTTCTAAGATATACTTTGGACTGAAAACATAAACAGGCTCAAGTTTATAGATACATTCATAGAGGACAGAGTTTTTATGGGTCAGTTGGTTCACATTTATTTTCAGCCACTGAAACTTTAAAAATATAACTAGCCATTCACTTCCAGAAAACGTCTCATAGGACTTCAGAGGCAGGAAAGAAAACTATAATAAACACATAAAGCTTGCAGTTTTTAAAACTTATCGTATTTTGGGAAGGCAAAATATATTTTGGAAAAGCAAGTTACAGGGTTTAAAAATGGTTTTTGTATATTCCTTGTTTTAAAAAGTCAAACAACATACCTCCTTGACATATTTTAATACAAGTATTTTAGTGCCTTAAGCAAAAATGTCAGTCTCAGTAGTTTCCATTCTTAGTTTTGCTTTATTCATTTCTACATCTCCTACCACACAGCTCTAACAGCTACTGAAATTGAGAAGAGTAACAAAGAGATAAGGAGGGTAAAAACCAAACAGGAAATAAGAGACATTCTTTAGTCTCAAATATTTACAGAGTCCAGGCAAGTAATGCAGTGTTTAGGCACAAGAGAAACCATTGTTGTGCCAGGCCGGTACGGCTCAATGGTTGAGCATCGACCTATGAAACAGGAGGTCCTGGTTCTATTCCAGGTCAGGGCACATGCCCAGGTTAAAGGCTCCATCCCTAGTAGGGAACATGCAGGAGGCAGAAAATCAATAATTCTCGCTCATCATTGATGTTTCTCTCTCTCTCCCTCTTCCTTCCTCTCTGAAATTAATTTAAAAAAACTCTTCCTTTCTTAAACCAATAAAAATATATCTAAAAGAAAGTTTTTTTAAGAGGTGCAAGCACAATAAACGGTGAGTGCCACTTGGACTCCTGTTAGCGAGACCACACTGGGGGTCATGCAAACAGAACACCTTCCCTATGTAAAGGTGAATCAGGTGCTTTCTCCATGTCACTGTAGGCCAAGGACTGCCAGCTCTCCTAATTTTGAAGAAGAAAAAAAAAGGATGGAAACCTGGGAATTTTACTGCTCTCTCGAGAATGAAGTGTTGGCCTTTAATTATGAGCCAAACTAAACAGATCTGTCCTTAGGGCAGCCAATGCGGGATATCTGATTAAAGTAAGCATTTTGTAATGTTTATGAACAGATGCAGAAAATGCTCCCCAAATCACATTGCGTACTCATAAGCTTAAGTTCCCTCTCTCCCCACACAAAACCAGGGCCAGAATTTTCCCAGAATCCTTTCTTTAGTACCCATTAAATGAAGAGATACATTGCTTTCCCTAATGTCTATTACCATGTATCTCTTTAGTTTCCATTAAATTGCTATTATGTTAATTATACATAATTATTCCTATTTTCAATTCAGGACTGAAGCAGAAATATTAAGTAATTTGTCTACTTAGAAAGTTAGTAAGTAGTGGAGCCTAAATTTGAATCAGGTAGGCTGGGTCCAGTCTGTGATAAGGTTTATAATAGAAATACAAATGATTTTACACTCCCAACAGGGGTGTTAAAATGGTAACATTTTATACCTTCAGTAAAGTAACAAGTAGTAATTTCAGTGGTCTCTCAGTTCACCGCCTGTTTCTAAGACCAACAGACAAGCATTCGGAGTCAGCTGCGGAAGGCAGGTCTTTCTCTCCAAAGCAAGCCTTCAAACCCAACAGGGAGTGGGTTTTCTCTCCCCCTCCTCTTGCCCCCCATCAGCCCCAGAGAAATAGAATCACCTCTCTGGATTTGTGGACTTGTTTTTTCTGTGTCTATTTCCTACATCTTTATCCGGAGATAAACACAGCTGGTTAGTTCGTGTATTTGCATCCTCTTCCTCCCCCTGCCACCCCCCTCCGGGTACTGTACTGTTCATTCACATCTCACAGGCCATTGATTACTTATCCAGACTCACCTAACTGCAGCTAAGAGCTGTCTGGAAATGCAGTGGAAGTGAGGCATGGAGGAGGCCGGATTAAGAAGTTGAAGTTCTTTCCCCCATCTGTCTCTCCCTGCTCACCAGGCTAGTGTTCTTATGATCATCCTTATCAGTCCCATGTTTTACAGAAAACCACCCCTCTCTCTAAGGCCCCGAGTTGTCATGTTGTATTAGAGGTGTCTTCTGTTGCCGTAATGGAGCAAAAACATCTTTATTGGTCATAAGACCTGCCCATACACTGTTTCTCTGGTCACAGCCTTCTGACAGAATTATCATAGAACTTTAGAACCTTAATAAGATAACTGCAGTAACATGCTCACTAATAGGGCAGGTTTTCCCAGGTTGGCAAATTCTCTTCCATTTACTCAATTCAGTTTCCCAAGTTAATTTGCAAATCCCATATTTGAAGCTGGAACACTTTCCCTAAATCTAAATCATGAAGTGGCTGCAATAATGCAATGAAATAGAATACAGTAAAAATAGTATATGAAGTGTGGGTGCATACTAATTATTAGCCAAACAAAATACACAGAACAAGAAATTTTATTATCTCAAATGCTGGTGCATAACCAATAACAAGCTTAATTAGAGGAGGAGACAGAGGGAAACCTCAGAAATTTCTGGATAGGTTTGAAACCTTTAAAGGTTGACGGCATAACTGTTCACAGAGTCCTTTTTAAATGTAGGGCCTTTCTTTCACTTGACAACTTTCACTTAACAGTTCTTCCATGATGAAGTTCCACCAGTCTTTTCCCTGCAAAGTTAAAGGTAAAATACAATTTCTCTAGGATATGGAGGTTATTAGAAATAGTTTTCTTGATACGTTCACATACATTTTAATGTTTGCATTTGAAAATGTACTAAGGATTTCATTTTTTTTTTACTTTTAAAAATAATGGTCAATCAAGATAATGAATTTCTTGAATTACAGATCACAACAGCTTTATAAATGATCAAGATAGACGTACAAATAAAATTTCAGATGCTCTTAGAACAGGATTAAGAAGTTGAAGTTCACATGATACCTTTTTCTCCTGGGGATTGCTTTTTCTTCTGGGATGCTAAGAACATTCACCTGATTATTATCATCTACTAAAAAAAAAAAAAAAATTTAGCCTTTGATTCCTATAGCTTGAATAGATCACAAAGTGGAATTTTCAGTTTCCTCAATAGGCTTTCTGTCCAATACACCCAGAAGACATCTGGTGTCCTACGCTGGCTGGCTACATTCCTTTTCCTCACGCCATTAGCATCAGTGTGCTCTTGCACTGGCCAGCAGTTCGTCTTGGTCACGATGTATTCTTGCAAAACCATTCCTTAGGGTTGGATGTGGAAGTCATTTTTTTTTTTTTTTTCCCAACGCAAAGAAGAGAATCCGGATCAATCACAAAGTCAAAGAAAGCCATGGTATTTCAGGACAAACAGGTTTGCAACAGTCCTAAGATCCTTTTTCTTCACCAGTTATTTTCCCCCCTTTTTCACCACTGTGCAGTCACTGCCCTATTCTATTCTGGAAAAAAAAAAAATGTTTTTTTCTTTGAAGACCAAGTGTTTCATTGGCACGGAACTATGTGGAATACACCCGAGAGACAGTGGAACGCTGGGCCTCCCCGCAAGGGGTCTCCTCCTCCTCTGGAACCGCACGGAGCTAATCTTTGTCGATGATCTCGTCGCAGCCGAGCTCCTCGGTCAGACGGTTGACCACCATCAGGGAGAAGAGCTCCTCGATGAAGGCCAGCTGGTCGAACGGGGTCTTCTCGTACTGCACCTGGAAGCCGCCGTCCGCGCCCGCCTCCCCGGAGGTTCGCAGGAACATCTTGTTGGCCTCGTCCAGGGCCGCGGAGCCGCGGAAGCCCGGCCGCTGCGCCGCCTCCTCGGGGTAGTCGTAGTCGTCCTCCCAGTCATCGAACTCCTCCGCCTCGAAGTCGGCGCCCGCGAACACGGCCGGCAGCTCCTCGGGGCCGGGCCGGCCTGCTAGGCCGCGGCCCCCCGCCGCCGCCATGGCCTGCGCCCCCTCCTCCTCCATCGGGCCTTCCTCCTCGGGCTGCGGCGGGCCCCGGCCGCCTACCTCCATCGGCGGCAGGTCCCCCTCGCCGCCCAGCACGTCCATCTGCAGGTCGTTGCTCTCCTCGTACAGCACGGACAGCGCGTGCAGGTCCGCCATGGCGCCGGCAGCGGCTCGGGCTCTGGCTCGGGATCGGGCGGGGCGTGTGCTGCGGAGCCGGGCGGCGGTGCGCGTGCCCCGGCGGCGTGCGCGCCCCCGCGTCAGGGTGACCCCCTCCACCCCGGCGCCGCGCCCGCCCCGCGCGCGCCCCTCGCCCCGCGCGCCGGCTGCCGGGGACGCGCCTGCGCGGCCGGGAGGGCTGCGTTGTGTTCGGTCCAAGGAAGGGATGTCGTCTGCAGAGGCTGCGCTGGCAAGAGCGTTACTTTGTCTCCGCGTCGCTGGAAGACGTGGCTGCTCAGGATGCTGCAAACCGGGGGATGCGCGCCGCCGTGGCAACGCATCCTCCTCCTTCCCGCTCCCTCCCTTCCTCCCGCCTCCGTCCTCCTCCCGCCGCCCGCGGCCATCGCGGCTGCTCCCGGGCTCGAACTACCCTTTGTCTGCGCAACGCACTTCTGAATCGGCCCCTGCAAACCACACTGGGTTCGCAACCTCAAAGCAACATGTTAAGAATGCATCTGGAAGCCTTTTAAGAATGAAAGCTTTTTTTTTTTTTTTTTTTTTTTTTTTTTTTTTTTTTTTTTTTTTTTTTTTTTCCCTTTCGATGTTCCTCATTAGAAGTTCAATAAGCATATTTCCCGTGCTCTTTTAAAAAAGTTCTAGTGAGGATATATCCTCGGTCCCATTTCTTTTTGCAAGAGGTAACTTTCCATTATCATCCATTTGATGTGTATGCTTTAAATCCTTTTTCTTAGCATTCGCAGGGATCTTAGGGGAAGTAGGGAAAAATCTTACTTTTTTTCCAATGTCTCACATAGCTGTCTTCAATTTACAAACCAAATCCCCTCAGCTATGTCTAGAAGATATAGATATATTGTAGATATAGATATAGATATAGATATCTAGCAATGCAAAAATCATTTCCAATTTTTTGATAAACTGGCTAAATGAATGTCTACATATGCCAGTTTCTCTAGAATAAATGCAGTATTTGGAAGTTGAAAGGTGGAATCATAGGGTATTCATACTTTAATTTCAACAAATACTGTCAAATTGCTTTCCAAAGTTGCTATACAAATATCAGTTCTAGCCTGCAGTGTTTGAGAATATCCATACCCTTGCCACACGTGATTGTGTTGAACTTGGACAGTTTATCAATTTACTGTATCTTGTTTTGTTTTGAATAGTCTTGATTTCTTAGACACTGATTATTTTTTCAGTTTGTTTATTAACATTTGTATTCTGAAAATTAACTGGTCTTTAGGTTTATTTCTTTTTCTTATGGATACATAAGAACTCCTTATGAACTCTGACTATATGAATACTTTTGTTTTATATGCTCTAAATATATTCTCTCTTCCTATTGTTTGTCCTGTTTCAGGGGTCTTTTCTAATACAAATTTTAAAAATGAGTTTTTATGTAATCTAATTTGAGGGGATTTTTTGTTTGTCTTCTAATAAGATGGGGTTTTCCTACATCAAGGTTCACAAGCATAATCTTTTTTTTTTTTTTTTTTTTTTTTTTTTTTTTTAAATATTTTATTGATTTTGTACAGAGAAGAAGGGAGAGAGATAGAGAGCTAGAAACATCGATGAGAGAGAGTCATCGATCAGCTGCCTCCTGCACACCCCCCACCGGGGATATGCCCGCAACCAAGGTACATGCCCTTGACCGGAATCGAACCCGGGACCCTTCAGTCCCCAAGCCAACGCTCTATCCATTGAGCCAAACCGGTCTCGGCCACAAGCATAATCTTTTATCTGCCTTCTGATGTATTTGTTGATTTTTTTTTAATGAATCAAACATTTATTTATATAGATAGTATGAGGACAGGAGTTATTTATATATTTTTTTCCAGATAAGCCAGCCAACTCCATTAATTTAATCACTTATCGTTTTGTCTTAGATGACACATTTATCATAGACTAAAAGTTCATGAATATGTGACTGTTTTTCGACTTTGTATTCTAATGAAATCGTAGTTTTATAATATGCCTTGGTTATAAGGAAAATCTAGTCTCTTTGTTCTTTTTAAAAACACACATTTCCATTGATTTCAGAGAGGAAGGGAAAAGGAGAAATTTAGGAACATTAATGATGAAAGAATCATTGATTAGCTGCCTCCTACACACCCCGTACTAGGGATTGAGCCCACAACTTTGGCATGAGGCATGTCCCCTGTGCCCTGATCGGGAAAACCATGACCTCCTGGTTCATTGGTTGATGCTCCACCTCAGAGCCACACCAGCCAGGCTAGTCTCTTTGTTCTTTAAAAATTTTCTTTAGCTTTTTTTTTGCACAGTTGTTATTCTTCCATGTGAACTTTAGAGGCAATATGAAAAGTTCCCTGAATGACATTGGTGGAATTTTTAGTGGAATTGCATGGAAATTACAGATTAATTTGAGAGAGAATTGACATCATTACAATATTATCTTCTAATCCATTAAGGTGATATGTATCTTTTTTATTTTTTGCTTATTCAGGTAGTTATTTATGCCTTCCCATGAAGATTTTTTTTAAAAACTTTACACAGATCTTTTTAGATTTATCTGTAGTTACTTTTGTAAATGTACCTCCTTTACCCCCAATACAGTGTCTAATTGGCTATTGCTGATATAAAGGAATGACATTGATCTTTGTATAACTGAAATGTAAATATCTATAATAATTAAAGTGTAATATGCTAATTAGACCAGACAGCCGAACAACCTTCCGGATGACCTTCCGGCCGAGCCCCTTGCAGGAATTTAGTGCATTGGGCCTCTAGTAGAAAACATAAATAGGGAAAAGTTGCACACATAATAATGATTTCCACAAAATGAACATACTTGTTTAACTATTACTGGGATAAAGAAACACCATATAATTCCAGAAAACCATTTTCTCTCTCTTCCTTTGCCCCAAAAGTAACCAATATCCTGACTTCAAGCAGGATAAAATAATTTTGGCCATTTTGAGCTTTATAGAAATGAAATCATTCAGCCTATATTTTTTGTGTGTCTGGCTTCTGCCCAAGAAGCACGTTGTAGCTATTAGTAGTTCTTTGCTTGAATATCACTGTAGTTGTCACTGTGACTGGTTCCAGTTGCGGGCTTTTATGAAAAGGACGGTGCTTATCTTTTTAGCACACCATTAGGTGCACATATTCACACAATCCTGTTGTATATACATTTAGGAGTAGAATCGCTTGGTCGTTTTATATAAGCTACTTGAGCATATTCTGTTAAACACTTCTGAAGACAGGACTAGTTAATAGGTGCACAGTTGATATTTTAACGAACCCTCAAAACAGTATGACAAACACATTTCTGCAAAATAGGTCATTTCACCCTGGAGATTATGAACAAGTGATCCTAGAATCTCAAGTGAGAGAAACAGTCTTCTTAGTTAAATAATGCAGTTCACTTGAATAATGTTCCTTCGTATTGGAAATCCTAGTGGTAATTCCTTAGGATACTTTTGGTGGTGAGTGACTGAAAATCCAATTTATATAAACCTAAGTTAACTAGAAAAAAAAAAACAATAAAGGGGGACAGGAATTGTATTGGTTGAAATGATGAAACAAATGTTACAACCAGAGTTTTTATTTATTTATTTATTTATTTATTTATTTATTTTTATTGAATTTATTGGGGTGACATTAATATAGTTTTGTAGGTTTTAGGTGTACAATTCTATAATACGTCATCTGTATACTGTATTGTGTGTTCACTACCCTAAGCCAAGTCTCCCTCCATCACCACTTATGCCCCCTTTACCCTCTTTTACCTCCCTCACCCCCTTTCCCTCTGGTGATCATTATACTGTTGTCTGTGAGGTGTTTGTTTTGCTCTTTGCCTTAATCTCTTCACCTTTTTTTCACCCAGCCTTCCCACCCCCAGCTGTCAGTCTATACTTTTTTTTTTTTTTCTTTTATTTTTCAACTGCCAGCTGATTTTCCCCAGAGGGAAAGCTTCATTTTTTCCAGTAGGATTTTCCCACGTGTCAGCAAAAGATGGCTGGCTCCCAGAAGCTTTATGCTTACATGGTCCTGAATGGCAGCAAGAGAGGTATCCTTTCCTGTTGTCCACATCAGTTTCTCCCCAAAGACTTAGATTGGCTCTGCTGTATCCGGATGTTTCCTGATGGGCTAGGCCTGGGCCATGTGTCCACCTGCAAGGAGAGAGGCAATGAGACAGGCATGTCCAAACCACCTGAATCTCAGTGAGATTCTCATAAAATGTGGGTGGAGTCCTTTCCACAGGGATACCGTCCAGGCAAAAACAAAGCATATGGGTGTCCATTACTGTTAGATTATATGTAACTCGGAGTAATTAATTTATAGCATCACACATGTTTATTTTTTTATGTTTTCCAGATTATTGCAAATCACCACATGCAGTCTATTTCATTTGCCTCTGGAGGGGATCCTGTAAGTATGGGTTCACTAAGGTCTTTTTTTTAAGAGTTATAAAAACTTCCACGTAAAGCATGTTAGCCACTATAGGTGCTCTCCAAATATCTTACTAGAATTTGTGAGTAGCTACATGTAACAAGAAATTTAAAATTTGGTTTTGACAAAATACATCCCACCACTTATTGTTGTTTTTTTAAGTAAATCTTTATTGTTCAGATTATTACAAATGTGATCCTCTTCCCCCCCTCAATTGCTCCCCTTCACCAGGTTCCCACCCCACCCTCTGTCCTTTCCCCATCCCCCATTGTCCTCATCCATAGGTGCACAGTTTTTGTTCAGTCTCTTCCCGCACCCCCACTCCCCTTTTCCCTGAGAATCATCAGTCCACTCCCCTTCCATACCTCTGATTCTATTATATTCACCAGTTAATATTGTTCATCAGATTTTTAAATTCCCTTGGTTTTTAGATTCACTTGTTGATAGCTACGTATTTGTTGATCATAATTTTTATCTTTATCTTCTTCCTCTTCCTAAATAACCTCCTTCAGCAATTCATATAATTCTGGTTTGGTGGTGATGAACTCTTTTAGCTTTTTTTTATTTGTGAAGCTCTTTATCTGTCCTTTGATTCTGAGTGATAGCTTTGCTGGGTAGATTATTTTTGGCTGTAGGTTCTTGTTATTCATCACCTTGAATATTTCTTGCCATTCCCGTCTGGCCTGCATGGTTTCTGTTGAGAAATCAGCTGACAATCTTATGGGTGCTCCTTTATAGGTCACTACCTGCTTTGCTCTTGCTGCTTTTAATATTCTCTCTTTGTCTTTTGCTCTTGGAATTTTAATTATGATATGTCTTGGTGTGGTCCTCCTTGGATTCCTTTTGTTTGGGGTTCTGCGAGCTTCCTGGACATGTAAGTCTATTTCTTTCCCCAGGTGGGGGAAGTTTTCTGTCACTATTTTTTCTAGTACTCTTTCGGTATCTTGCTCTCTCTCTTCTGGAATCCCCATAATTCTGATGTTGGTTCGCTTGAAATTGTCCCAGAGGTTTCTTACACTATCTTCAACTTTCTGGATTCTCTTATCTTCTCCCTTCTGCAGAGGAGTGTCCTCTGGCTCTTTGTGTTCTAAATCTTTGTCTTGATTCTTGCGATCTGCCAGTCTGTTTTTAGGATTTTGTATAATATTTTTTATTTCAGACAATGTTTTCTTCATTTCTTGTTGATCCCTTATTATTTCTAGTTGCTCCCTTTTCATATCCTCATAGGTCTCATTTATTTTATCGGCCTTTTTTAGGATATTGTTGAATAACCTTATAACTGTAGTTTTGAACTCAGTGTCCAATCTTTTCTTTTCCTCCATCTCCTTCCTTTGTGTCCTTCTTCTTGTCTGCATTTTAGTTGTTTCCCTGATTTGATGAAATAGCTTTGTGTGCTAGGTGTTCTGGTAGAGCCCAGTAGCACAGCCTTCCCAGTTACCTGCAGTGGACAGTCTTGGTGTAGCCCTTTGTGGGCTGTGTGTGCAGTCTTGTTGTTAAGCTTTGCTTATTGTTGGTATCACTGGGAAGCGTTGATCTCCAAGCCAATTGGCTGTGAGGATCAGCAGTGTCTCAGCTAGGAGGGTTTCCGTACTCTGCTTGAATAGGGCGGGGTCTCGGGGTGGCGTAGACAATCTTTGGTTCCCTGTTAGTCTTGCCTTAGAAAAGTCCTGTTCGTGGAGAGTTTTGGAAGATTGGTTGCAGGTGCACGCGCACCTCTTTGGTAAAGGCACAGACAAGCTTTGGATTCCTGCAAGTCCCTCCTTAGAGAAAGCCAGCCTCTGGGAGAGCTTCTGTGCTCAGCCACAGTAGGGCGGAGTCTCGGGTTGGTGCAGACAAACTTTGTTTTCCCTTCGGCTCCTCCCCAAGTCCCGCAGTAATGGCCTCTGGCTTCACACACCTCCAAGAGATCTCTGCCCACTGCCTGACAGTCTGGCCTCTCCCTTTCTGGGGCCGTTTATCAGAGCAATAGGGTGATTCTGTTTTCCTCTCGGACAAGAAAGCCAGCTGTGTTAGCTGTTCGCCCTCTCCGCGCCAGGAGTAAGCCAGTAGCGAACTCAGCCCGGCCCGCCCTCTCTGCGTGCAGGGAGTAAGCCAGCAGCAATCTCGGTCCGGCCCTTCCTCTCCGCACCGGGATTAAGCCAGCGCCTTTTCACGCACACAGTTCTCCGTACCTTCACAGTTCCTGAGGTTCAGCGTGCCTTCTCTCTCCTTCCCAGATGGCAGAGCCTCCTCTCAGCCAGCCGTCTGGCGCTTCAGGGCAATGCCTCCCCTGTTTTTCAGTTCTAAATTCAAATTTGTTGTGGTAGGCTGCATTCGGGTGTCTACCCTATGCCGCCATCTTGGTTTCTCCCCACCACTTATTGTTAAAATAGTTGGATTAGTAGGCAAGCAGATAGCCAGGGAGTTATCATCTGAGAAGCTTCTTGCAGGTCACATCAAGGTCATGAAAAACAAACGTGTCATACATGTGTTGCCAGTCCTTCCTTAGAATTCTTCTCCACATAAAGTTCTAGGCTGATGCTATTAATCAGTTAGATTTGGCACATCCATGGCAACTAAGTCCCCTCTGGCAGAAGCTTATGGAGGCCTCGCTCAGGTGGGGAGAGCACTGCCGTTTCTGGCTACCAGGAGGCCACCAGGTGCTCATTTCGTGTGAAGGCACAGGGCTGAGCCAGCGTGGATCTGCAAGCCTCCTGTGCCAAGGGGAGAGTCGCTCCCTGATTAGGTGCTGCGCCATTTCTGGACTGTGGCAAGAGAAGGGCATCAAAGCTGAGAAGCCTGTGACTGAACAGAAAACAAACCTGTGTAAACTGAGAGAGTAGAATGGGGACATTGCTTCCCTTGACATCCTGACGTTTCTCCACCTGCACACATGTAGCAGGCTCAAGGAGAGCGGAGTCTGCCTGCCTGTCATGATGACTGACCATCATCAGGCATGTCAGGAAAGCATGGGGACCATATGAAGACCTGGTCCTGACTGACAGTCCCTTAACTTCTGTTCTGCATTTATTACTAAAGAGCACAGCCTTCAGAAATGAGGCAATAAACCCACTTGAACAGATGATTTTTTCCTCTCCAGCACATTTAGCTTCTCTCTTCAACTGGAGGAATAAAATTTAGGATCATAAATGATAGGACACATAAGCCAGAAACCCAAGAGAGGTATTGAATGGTAGTAAACACTGGATCTGGCAGCTGTTGTCACTGCAGAGTTTTGATGGATTTTAATGTCAAGGCTAAATATTTAAAGGAAAAATAAGTCTCTCCTGAAAGGAAATGAAGTTCTGAAGGTTCTGTGTCAAATTATTGCTTTCTATACTGGCATCTACTGTATTTAAGCAAGTTCCTCCTCTTGGGTGTTGGCATAACATTTTATATGTAAAATAATAGTTATATACTATTTAAATCAGCCCATTCTTTAAAGCATCTATTTGTTTTCTCATTGGTTAGCAGTGCCTCAAAGTATTTAACCAGGTCAAATATAGACAACTTGCCTTCAGAATGTCCTTGAAGCATATGGAAGAAAAGCAATCTTTACAGGATTTTAAATCACTGCTTCTTTTTTTTATTTTTATTGAATAAGTACTTAATTTCCCCATTAGGCTTCACTACTTCACCGTTTTAGCTTTGTGTGGTTATTCTCAAATGAATATTTAGTTCTATGGTGCCATCATCTTCTACACTAATAAAAGTGAAAGATGCAAATTGACCGTATCTCCACAATGACCACCAGCTAATCAGGAGTGAATATGCAAATCAGCACAACAAAGATGGTGGGTTAATTTGCATATGCAGGCGCCAAATCGATGGGCCTAGGTGGCACCAAGTGGCCTGGGTTCCGGGGACAGGCGCCAAACCCGAAGCCTCCTGGAACCATCGCTGCCCCTGGGAGGCCAAGGTGGCCATACCAAAGCAGCCTTCCTGGAACCATCGCTGGCCCTGGGAAGCCAGGGTGGCCCCACCAAGCAACCTGGGAGCACAGGCCTTGGCCCAGCACAGGCCTGGAGTAAAACGTTGACAGCAAGTCCTTTCAGTATAATTGGGGCATTATAGGCCCACTGAATGATCATTTCTTTTTCTATGAAACACATAACTCTGAAACAGTATTTATAATTAAATAAGTTCCATATATTTTGACATTTTACAGCCCTGGAAAGTTACATATTATGATCAGCAAAGTGAGAAGATGAAAATAGTTTTTAGGTTTTTAAAGATGTAACTAGTTTCTGTCTAGAAGACACACCAATTCAAAAAGTGATGGTTTTATTGTCCTATAGGACATTAGCTAGATTGTATCTAATTTAGCCGTTTTACTTTAGGCTGCAGGCTCCTCCCTGGCCAGGGCCCAGGTTAGGGCTCATGCAGGAGGCAACCAATCAAAGTGTCTCTCTCACACTGATGTTTCTCTCTGTCTTTCCCTCTTTCTTCCATCTCTCTAAAAACCAATGGAAAAATATCCTCAGGTGAGGATAAAAAAAAAAGGAAAGAAATAAAGAAATGTCATAGCCTATGAAAGAGACATCTTGAAAATGCCTAAAGAAAGTTGTCATTTTTTCATGGTGAAGGGACTGGAGTCCATGTTGATGAAAACACCTTGGCAGCTGCAGAGGCCAGCAGTGGCATCAGCAGCAGGATGATGGGGGCTGTGTCTTCCCTTGATCAGCCAGATTGCCTCCTGCAGAGGGAGGCCTACTGATGGCTTAGGCTTGCAGGGAGAAGGTCTAAGCTGTCAATAGGACATACCCTGAGGACTCCTGGACTGTGAGAGGGGGCAGGGTGGGCTGAGGAACACCCTCCCCGCTGCAGTGCATGAATTTTGTGCACTGGGCTTCTAGTTTAAAAATAAACCAAATGATAAGAGTTCCACCTTTTCCCCAAGAGATTTCACAAATGGCTTATAGCACACTCACTAGCAAGCAAGGGACATGTAGGGTGCCTGCCACTTAGCAGCTGCAGTATGACCCCAATTCTGAATCTGAAACCCCATCTATCCAGCCTTATCATCTGGTCTCACAGTGACACTAAGGGACATGTTAACTGAATCTAGCCTGGAAAAGCTAGCCCTGTCTTTTCTCTCTCACACCCATTTTAGTTTGATCATCCATGAAAGAACTCCAATACTTATTTTAAGAGACTTAAAGTAATGAATTCTATAAGTGTCAAGTGAAAAACAATCATTGCTATTTGCCTTAAGTTTTCCTTTTTGAGTTTTAAGGATTCCTGCCACTTTTAGGATTTGTCATAAGCATTTGCCATAAGCATGCCCTGCGTGATGCTGCTCGTAGTTCTCCAGAATCCCAATTACTTTTAGACCATGTTCATGTGTCTTTAGTTCTGTAGTTCTTCCAACTCACCAAGGGCCGTGGCCCCTACCAAAAGCAAACAGTAACAAACTTACACTTTGGGAAAGTATTTCCCTACTGAATGGCGTAGGACTTCTGTGCTCCCTGCAGCTGGAGCCGCAGCCTGCTGGTTGGAAATGAAAACTGGAGCCTTCATACACATTGGCACGAAGGTGGCATTCACCCTCAGGCCAGGGGAGTAGAGGAAAGAGGCTCTGGTGTCAAGTGGACTTGACCCATTTGTCCTCTCCAAGCTGCAGGGCCCTCACCTGTAAAATGGGAAGGGTCACCCTTGCCCAGAAGGGTGAGAATTGACTGAAATGACGCATGTAAACAGGTGCTTGGCACAGAGTGATGCGAGAGAACTATCCCCAATGTTGCTCACACACATCCATATTTTTTAGGACACTCATTGAGACAATGCACAACTTCACAGCTTGACTGGGTACAAGGGTTAGACGCTACGTCGCCATGGCCTAATGTAGTGTCCTTCTTTCTAAAAGTCTAACAAATACTGGGTGTTCTTCCTTACTGTCTGACCCTTGCTCTCCCTCACCTTTACTCGCTTCTCACAAATGGCTTACTTGTCTTCCTTCTGTCAGCCCTGGAGACATTTCTCCGTAATGCTTCTGCATCTACATATACTTGCTCCATTTCAGAAATGCGCTAACGAGTATGACCGGGTTAAATACATTTTCCCGTAGTGTCCCCTCTATTTGTGCTTTACTTTTAACATGCTTTAAGTTCTCCCAGGTATCCCAGTTACTGAATTTTAGAGCTCTAAGACTGTTGAAGATGAGGAAACAGGTCTGCAGAGATCCCACGACCTCTACCCCATCATCCAATCTATTGGACACCGTTGGCCGTTGGCGGCACCATACCGCCTCTTCAACTTTCAAAAGAGCAGCTAAGCCCCCAGCCATTGTGCCCTTCCTTCTAAATTATGTGAAAACAAAGCCTGGAGACATGAATTTACATATTTATAAGATAGTTCAAACCTTTTATCTGTTTGCATACGAGAAATTTACCTACGAGTGTGCTGTTTTTTAAAATGACTCAAGAATAGTTATGCAGATCCTGAGATCCACTTCCCGTTTGATTCACTGCGGTTATTAAATGATTGTCCTTGATGGTATTACAGACGCGGGCTTTTATTTCCTGCCAGTTGATTGCATCTTCCCTCTAGAGAGTCATGCTTCTAATCTTCCAATGGCAGTGTGTATTTTTTCCCTGAGAACTGAGATAACAAAAAGCATCTTTAATTATTCAAATCTTATCATTCATCAGCTTACTGTTTTCAATAAAAATCAGAATTACCAAGTGGCTTTTTGTTTGTTAGTTTTTACAAAGTCAGCAGCACATCTCTCGCTCTCTCTCTATTTAACTCCTTAGGTTTTAATGGGTTCTCTTTTTTAATAAATAACTTTTCCTCTGTCTTGATCAAATAAATGCTTATATTTCTGCTTTATTGTTCCTTAAGTTAATGTGCATTGCATGCAAGCAAGCCAACAACCACAAAATGCAAAGTGTTTCTTTAATGGGATTATTTTCTGATGCACATGGTGCATCTGTTTGGACAACGGGGACATCATGATGCCACCCACATCCAAGTTGATGACACCTTTGTGATTGGGTAACCCCTGGTATTTCAACTCTCAACCCAGGGATAGAATCACAGACCCTAATCATTTTTTTTTTTTGAGAACATATGTCCTAGCATATTACCTACCTGTATTCTCTTTTATTCTTACTGACATGGTCTGCCTCTAAATTTTCAATCTCCAGATTCTCTCCACAAGAGGCAGAGAAAGCGGAGCCCACAACTTCTAAATCATATAAGTGCATATTTATGTTCCCTCCTAAGATGCTTTTCTTTTTTCTTTAAAAAGGAAACCTTAATATTTAAGTCTTTGATTTTGTATCATGTCCTAAATGTACTCTTTTTTTTTTCAACAGTGCAATCCATTTGTTTTAAATGCAATTGTTTTCCCTTTTTTATAGGATACTACAGACTATGTTGCCTACGTAGCTAAAGATCCAGTTAATCAACGAGGTATGGAAAGCAACTTCTAGATTTTCTTAAGAGCTGCTGTATACCAACTTTAAAGAGCCATAAACTGCTGTTTTCATTATACAGAGTGATGAGGATCACTAAGAGTGCTGTATTGGGTTCTGGAAACACTATGTAAATTTGAGTTGGAAATAAATGGTAGAGCAAAGTAGAAAAAAATATATATACACACAGGTGGATTTAAATCCTGGTTATGTGAGAGACCCATAAACCAAAAGTCTTATCTATTTTTTTAATCAAAAGAAAAGCTGTTTTGACTATGATAGAAAGAGCTGAACATCTTCAGTGGACAAATGAATTACAGATAATTAGCCTCAGTGTGTGTGTGTGTGTGTGTGTGTGTGTGTGTGTAACCTGTGCACCTGCTGTTCAAGAGCCTGACATGTCACTTTGAGTGCTTGGCTTCTCCTCTTTTGGATCCTAGCTTAAATGTCTCTCCTTCAGAGGCACTTTGGTTGAGCGCCTCTTCTCTCCAGTAAGCCTATCCCACTCTGTTGCACTTTATTTCTCTTTTTTATTAACATTCCTCCCACATTTTTATTCTTTTATTTACTCATTGGTTTTTTATGTCTATGTCTCCTATTCAAGGCTCTATGAGGACAAGAACTATTTTTTCCTCTTAAGCATTCATCACAATGCTTAGCACATAGGTGGCACCCAATAAAATTGGCACCCAATTTTGTTGAATGGCTGAGTGAATGGAAGAATGAGTTGACTGGATTTCTTGTCTCAGAATTTAGCAAGGTATCCAAGAAACTCAAATCCTAGCAGCACCTGGGGTCAAGGGCCTGATGTTCTTTAGGACATTAGACTTCTCTAGACAGAATGGTTAGTACTGTTCCTCATCCCTAACTCTGGATCATTCAGACTCTGCTATAGGGATGGGTGTGAAAATGCTTCTTCTCCTTAACCAGAACCCATCAGTTGGGCAGCATCCTTTGCCATCCCAGCACTAGGTTTGTCCCAAGATGTTTATTATGTATATATGGAGTGGAATTTGGAAATTCAAAGAGCTGTAAGGCTCTGACCAGGTTGGCTCAGTAGATAGAGTGTCGGCCTGCAGACTGAAGGGTCCTGGGTTTGATTACAGTCAAGGGCATGTACCTTGGTTTCAGGCACATCCCCAGTAGGGGGTGTGCAGGAGGCAGCTGATTGGTGTTTTTCTCTCATCAATGTTTCTAACTCTCTATCCCTCTCCCTTCCTCTCTGTAAAAAATCAGTAAAATATATAGTTTTAAAAAAAGATCTGTAAGACACAGAAGTGGAAACCTATATGGCTTGCAGGAAGCAAGTGAATAGAAGACAGTAGAATGTAGATTGTATATGAAGAAAAATGTCCAAGAGTAAGGTGACCAGATCGTCCCGCTTTTGGCGGGACAGTCTTGATTTTCAACAATTTTTCCCCAGGTCCCACGGTGTTTTAAAAAAGTCCCGATTTTTGGAAAGATTCAGGACTTTTTTAAAACGCCGTGGGACCCTGGAAAAAATTGTTGAAAATCGAGACTGTCCTGCCAAAAGCGGGATGATCTGGTCACCTTCCTAAAAGGTATTGAGAGGGCACACAGAAGAGAGCTAATAAGCAGGGACTCAATCGTGGGGGCGAATGCTGTTTACCAAGGAGAGTTTCCGGAAGACTGGGCAGCAGGATGCAGTGGGTGGAGTCAGAGTGAAAGCGCCAGGCAGGGGCGTCCTACCGCAGGAAGCTGTTGTGATGGTCAGAAATGATATTGTGGGGACCGGCTGCTGGCACCTCGCAGATGCTCTGTAACTGCTTGCCAGAGGAACAAGGCCCGGATAAGATGGAGAGGAAGGAACAGGTGGTGAATACTATGCAACACTTCATTGAAATGGACTCACTGAACAATAGGATGAAGAACAGATAAGTGGGCGGGAGGGACAGGAACCAGTGAAGGGAGATGGGGGTGTAGGAGGGAGCACAACAAAGGATACCCGAAAAGAGCAAGCTCTTTGGATGAAGCTTGGACTTCCCAGGAAGGCCTCTGGACAACAAAGCCTTTGATCTCGAGCTAGAAAGGACAGTGTGAAAGGAAGAACAGATCAGGAAATCTAGAGGCTCAGTCACTTTGCCATCAGGCACCCACTGTCTCTGGGCATGCCAGTGCTCCTCAGTAACTGGTGGTGAGAAATGCAGGGATGAGTGCCGGTTGCTGAGGGCAATGGCTAACGAGGACCTGCCTGCTTGTGGATATCCCTTTTGCTTCACTGAGACAAGAGAGGCAGAGACCATGGCCGTGTGGCTCATTCACGCAGAGGCCTCGCTCTGGTGTTTGAGTAATTCTCAGAGCCCAGCTGCTTAAATGGGACCCACAGGGACCCACAGGTACCCTGGCTGGGGATTCTGAAAAGGCATTTGTGGGAGCTGTTGACTGACTTCATGGCTGGGATTTGAGAGACAGTCCAAATAGGGTTCTGTTTTTTTCTTTCTTTAGCCTCAGACTGGATAGAGAATAAGAAAGATGCTAGAGCCAAGCAGGCTGGGTGGGAACCCTGATTCTTCCTTCATCTCACCATGGGAGCTTAGTCAAGTGGTTGCACATCCTTGAACCTCAGTTGTGTTAAGTGGGAAGAGCACATCTACTTGCTGGTGGTGTTGGGAGGAGTAACTGAGATAACACAGAGACAGCGTCCTTTTCTTTCCGTCCTCACCTCACCATTCCTGCTTAGGGAAATGGGTCCATCTGGTAGATAAATGACTAAAAAACATAGGGTAACTTTTTTGGATTGAAAGTCAGTACCTCTCCATCACTTACTGCTCCTTTTCCTATCCCTTTGCCCCTTCTTATCTTGGTTGTAGCAACCTCTGTGAGTAGCCACTCTGCTGTCTCGACATACATCTGCTCGCATACCCCTGCGGGTTAATTCATTTCCCCTCACCTGAGCCTCTGGGCTTGACTTTCTGCTCAGAGATGCTGACAGTTATTGATTACATGTGTATACACAAGAAGCTGAGCTAATCACTGTGCAAGAAAGACAATTCCTGGCCCCCAGAGCTCAACATTTAGTGGGAGAGAGAAACAACCTGTAGGATGTGCACAGAGAATGGGCGGGGGGGAGGGGGGGGGGGCGCTAAAGGACAGTGCCTGGAACATAGAGGTGCTGTCAGAATTTGTGGGAGACATGAATAGAACACAGGTCACAGAGCTGTGTAGCGAGAACTTGGGATTATGTGTTTGGATGGTGTGCATGTGGGTGTGCGTGCGTGCGTGCGTGCGCGCGCGCGTGCGTGTGTGTGTGTGTGTGTGTGTGTGTGTGTGTGAAGGTGGAGTTGCAGAGAAAAGGTAGAAGGAGGGGAGCTATGGCTGAGCAGATAGGCCAGACACAGATTTTGGAGGGGTCTGAATGCAGGTCAAAAGGTCATTCAGAATCATTGCCGATTCTGAACTTTAAATGATAACTTTTCTGGCATTTGTATCTGTAACAGTGACCTTGGGCAGAAAAGCAGTCTGGAACCATAGAGTCCAGTTTGGAGGCCATCTCACTAGTTATAAACTGCCCTGGGGAGGACAAATTTATAAAATAATAGAACTTAGGAACTGCTCATATATGAAGGCTGATGCAGAAATAGAAATCAGGCCCTGCCTCATGGCTCAGAGATGGAGCCTCCATCTATGAACCAGGAGGTTGCAGTTTGATTCCTAGTCAGGGCACAGGCCCGGGTTGTGGGCTCAATCCTAGTGTGGGCCATGCAGGGACAGCCAATCAATGGTTCTCTCTCATCATTGATGTTTCTGTCTCCCTCTCCCATCCTCTCTGAAATCAATGAAAATGTGTGTGTGTGTGTGTGTGTGTGTGTGTGTGTATAAAGAAACAGAAATCAGCCGTGAGGATTTAATAAGCTACTCTTTGCAGTGAAAGTATCTCAGTGCCAGGCTTATAGTAAGTATTCAACAAATGGTAGTTATTATTACTATCCTGTGTGGTTTGTAGTGACATTGCCACTAAAGGATCAGGGATTTTTACAAATAGAAAAAGACAAAAACCCTATGAAAATAGGGTTTTTTTTTTTGTTTTTTTTTAACCCAAAAAGGGGGAATAAACCTACCATTTATTGCGTGTTCTCATATGCCAGGAGCATTTTGTCTGCACTGTCTCATTTCATCCTCACAGCAACCCTGGAGGGAAGGTATTACAATTATTCCTTTTTACAAAGGCAAATACCGGGGCTGAGAAAAATGAGGCGGCTTTCCTAAGCTCACCCAGCCAATAAGCACCGGCCCGAGTCCAGATCCTGAGCACAGGTTTATACAAGGACATTGCGTGGGTCCAAGAAGCATTTTAAAAAATTTTAAAGTTTAGCCTCATTAGCAAGCAAAGGCACACAAATTATAATTTGATATCATATTTCATCTTCAAATTTCAAACCTCGCTAAAAGTAAATGTGGCGTAGAATAGCAGTTACTCCTGAACCCTTTTAGCAGGAGGGTGGGTCCATAGGTTTTTCAGGGCAATTTGACAATTTGCATCAAAACTTTAAAAAAAATAATTCTGAACCATCAATTTCACTTCTAAGGGAAGAATGAGGACTTGCACAAAGATTAAGCAGTAAATATCATTGGCATATATCATTAATGCAATGGGGAAAATTCAATATTAATGAATAGCAAATTATTTAAATGAATTCATAGACTGTCCTACTGTACAGCAATTAAAGCTAGTGTTATAGAAGAATAAATAATGACATGGGGAAATATTCACAATATTATTAAGTGCACAAAGCAGATTATGAGACATTGTGTATAACATGAGCCCAGGTAATTTTTTGGAAGTAGATATACATAGAAAAGAGATTGGAAAGGCACACGCCAAAATATTAGTTGTCGTTATCTCTGAATAGTAAGACTTTAGGTAACTTTAATTTATTCTTGGTGTCTTTTTTATCTATAAAACATCTACAATGAATATTTGTTACATTTATAAAGGGTAAACTGTTTTGAATTCTTAAATAAGTACAGAATGGAAAC